CCCAGTAGCTGCTGGAAGCTTCCTTCTGGCTCCTGTGTGGTGTCTGTTGCCACCATCATTGCTGGTGCATCGCCGCCTGCTTTTGGTTCCTGAACATTTGTCGTAGGAATTTCCATCACTGCCATCTCTTCCTTCTCATTTGCTGGATGTATAAAGGTTCCATCCCCTCCACCAATGACAGAGGCAGCAGCCATGGCCATGGTCTTGGTATTGCCCAGGGCTGGCCCCTCTGCCATTGGGAGTGCACTCAGTTCCTGGGGAGAAGTAGACTTGTTAAAAAGCTGTGGGAGGTGTTGTGGGAGATAGGGATGACTAGTAAGGGGTTGGGTGGGCCTCTCAGCCATTGGGAGGGCATTAAGTTCCTGGGGGGAAGTAGACTTGTAAAAAGCTGGGTGGGGGGGGGGAGAATAGAGATGAGTAGTAAGAGATCGGGTGATGGGGAAGGGGCAAAGGTGATCTTACTGCTCGGAGGAGCTTCCACCTCAGCATGTCACGTTCTTTCTGCACCTCTGCCAGTTTGGTCTGTATCATCCGCAGCTGGAATGCGGCCTCCCTGCGCTCCATATCTTGTTGCTCGGAGAGCTGCTTCAGGTCTGAGGCCAAGGCGTTGGCTGCCGACTTGTGCAGCCTAGCAAAGTTGTGCAGCCACTGCACCCGGCGCCCATGTAAATAACCCTGCCTGCGAGCGAAACGCACGCCCAAGGCCAGGCTGCTCCAGGCACAGGCTTCCTGGACCTCTCTGGGTACCGTGTGATCCTCTAAGATGGCCCTGAATTTGTCCTCTATCTCTTCCCAAGACAAAGATAGGTTTTCAAGATAGAACTCGGGCCCTTTAGGGTGCCTTGCCATCTGCTCGTTGATAAAAGCCAAGACGTTGTCATGGTGAAAGCCACTAGTGGGGTCATCCGGTCTCATGGCCATGACGGTGAAGGGACGCTTTGGCTTTGGCTCTGCCTGAGAGAACCCGGATTGAACCGTTAGTGGGCATTCGCTTCGCGGGCATCCCTTCGTATCCATTCTGCTTCAGTGACCCCTTCCCTCCCCAAGATTCTAGAAAATGCCTCCACCCACCCTAGACCCTCCTCTTGCCTTAGACACACCCCTTCTAGGACATGCCTCCCACCAGGCCTTACCTGGCTGGTGGGACCAAAGGTAGTACAGGCTACCAAAGTCTCCTACAGCTTCTCCAAAAGAGTACCTGCTGGCTTTCTGACTGCTCCGGGGAAAGGGAAGAACGACCCCCCGGGCCTGGCGCTTTATACTCTGGGACTGTTCCAAACTTCCAGATTTTGAGGGGGGGGGTGGGATGCCCCGGAGGAACAAACATCAGCCCCCCTTCTGGGAAGTAAGGAAACCTACCTTGGTTAAAAATTGTTGAATGTGAAAAGAAGCGGGACTGGTCCAAAGAGACTTAAGAAGAAAATGAAGTTCTTTTAAACCACTCCAAAAACTCCAAGCCCCACCATAATGGTTTGCCCCATACCCGCTGGAGATGGCGGTAGGACCCAATGGACAAAATGTTCTAGAGCACAAGACAGATACAAACTTGCAGTTGCATCCCAGCTTAAAAAAAGTGAAGGAACGGCTCCATCCCCCACTGCTTTCAGAAGGAACACTAGCTACCCTAAATAGGGATAAGGTGCAACCATTTTAATCTCTGAAATGTGTTTTAAATTTATTTTTCCTGATATACCCCATTCCTAGTCAAACTTATTTCTTTTGTTAACCACTGTGGTCCTCCAGCCTACCATTTCTTTAGAAAAAGATGCAATCAATCTGTTTTTTATTAAAATTTTTTTATTTTGGTTCGGTCATAGGGCCTGAACTTGGCTTGAGCACTGTCCCTCAACTCTTGAGCTCAATGAGTGCTCTACCATTTGAGCCACAGCTCTACTTCCAGTTTTCTAGTGGTTTATTGGAGATAAGAGTCTCACAGACTTTCCTGCCTGTGCTGGCTTTGAACCGCGATGCTCAGATCTCAGCCTCCTGAGTAGCTAGGATTACAGGCATGACCTACTTTTTTTCCCTTTTGATGGCATTCTTAGGGCTTGAACTCTGGGCTTGGGAGCCGTCCCCGAGCTTTTTCTCCTAAGGATAGCATTCTACAACTTGAGCCAAAACTCCATTTCTGGATTTTGTTGGTGGCTAATTGGACAAAAGAATCTCAAGGGGTCTTCTCTGCCTGGACAGGCTTCAAACTGTGATCCTGAGATCTCAGCCTTCTGAGGAGCAAGGATTACAGATGTGAGCCAGCATCTCCCAGCCTGATCATGTCTCTTACCCCCACTTTAATATCTGTAGCTTAAACTAGGTAGATCACAGGTTGAGTCCTATTTTGCCACTTATTTGACTTTATGCCATGCCAAGTCTCAGTTTTAACTTGTGAATGTACAATGAGGCCTAAATGCATGACAATGCATGTAAAGTTGAGATGTTTCCTATGATCCCTTTTTTTTAAATAAAATATGTAAGGGAGTATGTGTATATCTGTTTCCATACGTTTCTATAATCTGCAGAACCATAAAGGGGAGGATATATACTACATTCAACATTTACATACCCCTGTTTTAATAGTGATAGGGGCCAGTACGAATTTAGGATTTTTGAAAAATTATATATATCTATATATTTTTTCCTTATAAAAATGTTCAGAATAAGTATGTATTGTTTGCAAAACTAAAAAACAAAAACAGTGACCCATGGTGGCTCACACTAGTCTATAGGCAGAGATTTGAGAGGATCTAAATTTTAGGCCAACCCATGCAACAAGTGAGAATCCCATCTCAAGCAATGAGCTGGGACTTGGTGGTACATATGCCTGTAATTCCAGCTGCTTCGGAGGCATGGTTAGGATTACTGTCTGAGGATGCCATTGGCAAAGATGAGAGACTTACCAAAACAAAAACCAAAAAACAAAGCAGAAAATATCTGAGTTTGGTCCAAGTAGTAGAGCTTGCTTTAAAATGCAAAGTCCTCAGTTCAAACCAGGACTTAAAAAAAAAAAAGCAACTTTAGGCCATTACCATCTGATCATTTAAAATCATTCTTCAGTTCCTACAAGGCACATATATTATAATCCAACCTAGAGAACTATTGACATGTGTGTGAGTATATGTATATATATGTGTGTGTGTGTGTGTGTGTGTGTATATATATATATATATATATGAGAACTGGTCTTTTAAATTTCCCTCCCACCTTCCCTCCCTTTCTCTTCCCCTAGTTCCCTCTGTACTGAGGGTTGAACTTACGCAAACCCCAGCAATTTTCAGTTTTTCTTTTACTTCGCCTACTGGCCTTTGTGTAAGCTGACCCATGTGTGAGTTTCCCTGTCTTTCCTGTTCTCTCCACAACTATCTCTTTATCCACCTAAAGCCTATTCAGTTTCTCTTACATAGGCACCCAAGTATTTCTTCCTTTCAAAGGTATTTCTTGATCTTCCAAACCCCATTTTGAATTAGGTTTGAATTATGCCACTTTACATACCTTTTCACCATACCATTTTTTTTTATCAGTGCTGGCATTTGAACTCAGGGATTCATGATTGCTAGGCAAGTACTCTACCAATGAGCTACATTTCCAGCCCTTTATTCCACTGGTTATTTTATTTTTGGGGGGGGGGTCCGGTCGTGGGTCCTGAACTCTGGGCCTGGGCGTTGTCCCTCAGCTCTTCAGCTCAAGGCTAGCGCTCTACCACTTGAGCCACAGCACCACTTCTGGCTTTTTTCTTTTTGCTTA